ACTACACCCGTGTACACACAACAGTCTTCATTATAACACCAGAAACTACACCCGTGTACACACAACAGTCTTCATTATAATATTAGAAAATGTAAAAACTGTAAAGTTAGACAACTACATGTTTCGTTGTGACTATTTTTTGTTTTTCTTGTGTTAGATCACTGAATGGTATCCATTGCTTACAGGCCTTCTTCGTGGAGTCGAAATAGCCATTGGCTTCTCGAGTCAGAAAACAATCAGCTTAACCTAGTCCTTTTAGGCTCTGATGGCATAGCAGATGAACTAGCCAACACCATCAGGGTGAGTGAACCGATTTCTTCTTTATACACATAAAGATTTTACTTGTGGCTCTCCATATTTTGGAAGGTGGGACCGAATGGGATTCAAACTTTAAACTACACTTACCAGACAAACAGTTTAGCCAACCAAGCTACTGCTCCTTCAACTCTGCAGGTCTCAATTTCCACTTTGTGGGTTAGTAAGAACAAAATTTAATAGTATTAATTTTTTGGGGTGTGTTTTTAAAGTGTGCTGTCAATTTCAACTTTCATTACTACAAAGGCGTATGACTTATCTATAAAAAGAAACTGATTACCAACAAATGTCTTGAAAGGAAGTGGTTATAAAACAAAAAGTATCTTTAGACATACTATAGATATGATTTGTTCTTGTATAGATAGTATTTTTTTTATACCAGGTTTTACAATTTCAGATTTTTTTTTACAAACAATGAATTTGCAAGCTTAATTAGGCTTAATTTTTATGTATAGTACTATAGGTCTCTTTCTTTTAGATTATTTTGTAAGTTTAATTAGGCCTTATTTTTATGTATAGTACTATAGGTCTCTTTCTTTTAAATTATTTTGTAAGTTTAATTAAGCTTTCTTTTTATGTATAGTACTATAGGTCTCTTTCTTTTAAATTATTTTGTAAGTTTAATTAGGCTTTATTCTTATGTATAGTATTAGAGGTCTCTTTCTTTTAAATTATTTTGTAAGTTTAATTAGGCTTTATTTTTATGTATAGTACTATAGGTCTCTTTCTTTTAAATTATTTTTCAATACTTTCTGATATTATTGTACAGTTTTTTAAGTATTTATTTTATTTTTCAGGCCTATTGTACAGAAGATGTTTTTGAAATGGAAAAAATGCAATATACTCTAGATTTTAGAATTATTAACGGGGATGTTGGTTTACCCCATAACTCCTTTCAAACATCAGGATTTCTTCCACATGGTGAGTTGAGCATTTAGAGAAATCGGAGAATTTGCTTTTGTGTTAATATAAAAACTTTTAGATAATTTTTCACTCTGATCTGTGTTCTATGTTATTTTATAGCTGCTAGTATGTTAAGTGGTGAATTATAAAACAAAACTCTTTTCCTTTCTGAACCACTTGTCTTCTTCTCTTTATACTGTAGTTAAATCTAGCAGAGTTAATGCAGTTTCGTGAATAACATTAAATACTAAACCTGAAGACTGGTTTGTCAAGTATAGAAGGATTGTTTGTGAAATTAAATCAAATTGATACTTCTACAAATTTGTTTGCAGAGTGTGAAAACATAAAGTGTGTGGTTTTAACATGAAAACATAAAGTGTGTGGTTTTAACATGAAAACATTGTGTGTGGTTTTAACATGAAAACGTAAAGTGTGTGGTTTTAACACTTACTGAGAGAAACAAAGTTAATTTGTTATATAACTTCAATTGGAAGTTTCAACATCGCTGTAATATCTCATAAAGGGCATCAGTTTAGAATGTTGCCCAGAATATTTGTCTTTTATGATGTGGAAAGTGTTTCAACCAATCTTTAACTAGTGAGTTAAAAAAACAAAGTCATTTTTTCAGTTGCTCCTCAGAATTTATATTTTCTTTATATTATTTGATATTTTGAACCAGGAAGATTAGTACATTTTTTTGTATTTACATGCTCTCAGGAAATACTAACATCTTTATCCCTAGGATGTTTCTGTGTATATTCTAATCATCAGACTCTAGAATACATCCGTGAGAGTTTGGAGAAAACCTTACTTTCAAATCTTGAACAAGAGGACAGACTCCCTTTTCACGGGCTCCCTATTGTTATCCTGTTTGCTGCTGATTCTAGTACAAATGAGAAAGACTTAAGTTTTCTTTGTGAAGAAGGTCAGAATAGGGCTAAAAGGTAAACAAGTGTGAAAATGATGTATCTCTTTTTGTTGTTTTTGAAACATAAGTTACTTGTTTAGCATGTACTTACATTTCATTTAGTATTGGCTTGTCATTGACAAGTTAAATTGTCAAAGGAACAAAAATTGTCTAGCTCTACTGTAACATTCTCCTTCTTCTTTGTCTTAAGAATAGTATTTCAGTTGCCTGCCATGGTCCAACCCACTGTAATGGGTTCTGGTATTGAAGTAAAGGCTTCTTCAGTTTGTGGTGGACATAGGATAGTGTCTTATCACTGATTGAAAATTTAAATAAATTAATTAGGAGGATTGTGAGAGGAAAAGATTTGTAGCGTAATGTGAAGGTTATTTTCTATTTCCTGAAATAAGAATTGCTCATCCAGTAAGTTTGCAATAGACATAAAACACATTTGGTGTAGAAATAGTTTAAAAAAACTGAATATACCCATGCATAACCATTTGATAGTTATAGTGTTAAGTTGGGGAAATTACTAGTTGAAAAAAGTCTGCTTAAATTGAATTGAACTAAATTTATCTTTATTGATAGAAAGAAGCTTGTCTATATCCACCCGTGGAAACAGGCATACACGTTAGTGAACCACCCATGGACAAGGGCATACACGTTAGTGAACCACCCATGGACAAGGGCATACACGTTAGTGAACCACCCATGGACAAGGGCATACACGTTAGTGAACCACCCATGGACAAGGGCATACACGTTAGTGAACCACCCATGGACAAGGG